GGTTTTTGCGGGTCCGTAATTTTAGCGGTAGGCCCCGCGGAGTCTGGGCCCATGGACCGTGGGGGCCCCCGACGCGCTTTGTTTACGGCCCCGGCGCGCATCGTCGACGCTCTTTATGGGCGCCGAGCTGCAAATTGACGCTGTTGCCGCGCCTAATTTATCGCCCGGCTGAAATTAAATTCCGGCCGGGCTGTAATGTTCGCGGCTCACCTATCCTAGGGAGCTTTCGAGCTTTATGTAACGCAACCGAAGTAGCTGGGAGTTTAAATCCACGCCGCAATGCGTTGTCGCAGGGTGTCTACAAGTCCGGAATTTCCGTAAAGTCCGGAAAAAGTACTGATTTTTTTATAAGGGGTCCGGAAGTACTGAAAAAGTGCGGAAATTCTGCAAGAGGTCCGGAATTTTTTCATTTTGTGGTCAGCTTTCGAGTTTTATGTAACGCAATCGAAGTAGCCGGGAGTTTAAATCCACGCCGCAATGCGTTGTCGCAGGGTGTCTACAAGTCCGGAATTTCCGTAAAGTCCGGAAGTAGTACTGATTTTTTTATAAGGGGTCCGGAAGTACTGAAAAAGTGCGGAAATTCTGCAAGAGGTCCGGAATTTTTTTAATTTTTTGGTCATTTTGCTTTCAATTCGAGTGGGATAATCAAATTTTTGAGATTTTTCGAATTTCGTCAAATGGAGGTACTTAAAAAGTGCTGAATTTTTCTGTTGAGGAGGTACTGAATTTTTTGAGAATGTACTGTAAAAGTACTGTAAAAGTACTGATTTTTGGCCAGCATGTTTTAGTAGACACCCTGGTTGTCGGAACCGGAGAAGGGGAACAAAAGAGGACATTTACAGCGTTTGTGATGCTTTGAAAAGTTTTACACTATAACGAGCCTATTTTTCGAATTTTCAAGTTCTTGAAATTGTTTGACTTTCATAAACATTGCCCAAGCAGTTTCCATTTGAACGTATAATGCGGTACATATCTAACGATTTTAGAACACACAGTTCCTCTCATTTGGATAGGAGTTAGTTCGAAACTTGATCGTATATCAAAACGTTAACACTATAAAGAAGATAGCATTGTGGAGTTTCCAAAATCTTAAGCAGCAGAGATCGCGATAAGTTGTGATTTGGTCGGTAAATGTATGACGATTTAATTGGATAAGTACTAAAATAAAATAAATTAAATTACAACATTTTCTGTGGAAATACGACAGCGTCCAAATGCTCATACGGCTTTCTTCCTCTGGACAGCAGAGGACGAGCGAGATCGTTTGCAAAATTATCGACAAATTATGATCACAGGAATAAAATAAGAGAGACATGAGGTATTTCGATTTGTTTCATTTTTTCTCCTCTTTTGTGATGAAACGCTCGTCCGGCCGGACCGAGTTTTCTGAGTCGTCAGACGTGGGATCACGTAGACTCCGATAAGAGCCTCGCACGTCTTCATACCACTTTCACGTTTAACTTTTCTCTCCTCGTTGTGCGCTTAAATGCTCTTTGGATAGTTGTCCGAGGTAATGACGGCTAAATTATGAAATGACAATTGAACGACGAGATACACTCCGCACACGTAGGGAAGAAAAAGACACCGTCTTCTTCGGAGCGCTTCTTGGGAAATCTTCAGGGAAAATGCACTCTGAATTCTCACAAAAATATACTCAACCTGAGTCGGTATATCCCAAAATTGCATTTTTCAACGGAAAAATTGCGATTTTTTTTGGATTTTTTAGCGATTAAATCGCAAGGACCATCAACATCCGAGCGATTATCCTCAATCTTGAAGCAATTTTATCTCTGCAAAATCACGTTCGATAAAATCGAAATTTTATCTTAATCCGTTGTCCCTCTGACATATGGGCGTATCTTCATTTCCACGTAAGCCCCGTTTTACATATAAATCTAGGCATTCTAGGGCCCATGTGGAAATCGAGGTACGCCCTTACGTCAGAGGAGCGACGAATTTATCACGATTTTTTGTTCGATAATATTGCGATTAATCGCCGTTAATAAAATCACGATTTCATCATAAATTTTTGCAATGAAATCGCAATTTATCGCAATTCTTTATCCGATGATATTGCAATAAATCGACGCCAGATACCTCCATGTAGACGGAATAATCGGTTAATGCGATAAGTATCGAGTTATTGTCAAGGCATACCGCGTCATGTCGTGCTTGATTCAGATGACTCTTCTCAAGAAGCATCCATAAAAGTCTACATTTCTTGTGAGTTTTACACTTCAATTGATTCTTGTAATTTTTTTTTGGTTCAACACCCTTATGATGTTAGCTAACGAATCTCCGTCTTAAAAACAGGTTATGGGAAAGATCGCTTTAACTTAATCTCTGACACGGCGAGAATAAAATGCAGTTAAGTCATTAAGAGTGAAATCGATTCATCTGTCGTTTGAAGCCTTATGATATTACCCACAGATTTTAGTCTTGCGAGGAGAAAATTTTTCCATTTATCGTCGGGAAAGGATTATTTTTTTAAAACATTATCGATTCTTGGATTTATTTGATCCGCAAGAAATCTAGCAACCAGACCTAGATTCGTGGCAATGCTTGCTGCGACGAATGTTCCTCGTTGAAACAACGGGAAATTTCCTTGTTTTTAACCGAAATCTTATACTATTTGAAACAGACTTGCGGTCGTTTCAAAGGTATTTCCAATCGATTTAACGAGAAATCCTATCGCGGCATTTTTCTTACACTGAAAAAAAAGTTACGGGCTGTATAGACATACCGTGCATTCCAGGCTTAGAGGCCGAAAATTCCGGGTGTTGGCACCGTAGCTTCGATTGCTCCAGATGCTCCGGAACTTTCGGCCTCTGACCCCGGAACGCGGACAGTAGGTCTATATAGCCTGTAAGTACAGCTTCCACGTCCAGAGTTTTTTTTTCAGTGTAGAACATGTTGCTCAGTGTGATAAACACTGTGTCAGACATCTAGATGACCAGCCACGCGATTTCCTAATAGGTATCGAATATGATGCGAAAATGTATCGTTTTCGATGGCAAAAAGTGAATGTTTAACATAGAAGCATGACGTTTTGGTCATATCTTTTCATTCAACTTCAACCTCCAAACTATAACCATGTACTCACAACTGTGACCAAAGCAACCGATCCATTGGTAGAGAATACTCCTTATAAACGCCCATAGACAGCTCACTCTTACCTAGATCCAAGGCGCAGCGAAATGGACAGGAGTCATGCGGCAAACGCAAGACGCAAGCGATCATGCAAGGTTGGAGCTATCAATAATGCAATCTAAACACTAACTAAAAGCCGGTCTTTGATTCGTGCTCTGGCGCCGCGGAACATAATGGAACATAATAGACTCCGCGAAAGGAATAGCTGCGGCGCGGTGGGCAGGCGGGGAAAAATTAGAGGAATCAAACAAGCGACTAATAAAGGCAAATGAAGGGTCATTTTGAAGAAGAACCTAAGTGCTGAGGGCTACCTATGGGCAGCACGCGGATCTTCGATAAAGCCGTACAAATGGACGTATTTATACTAAAAGGAAGTATGTGCATAGGGTTTGCGTAGAATATAGGTCATTTTAGCATAAAAGCGGACAAATGTGAAAAAGAGGCGAAACCTTGGGCCGTCAGTCACTGATTTGCGGTAATTGCCGGTTAAACGCGGGTGAGTTATCATTTTTTCTCGGCCGCGGCTAATTGCGGTCAAGTCGGAAACATTAGTTTTTGCGTTAGTTTCGTGATTTATTCGCTTTGAATTGAATTGTAGATAAAGAGCGACCGCTTTTATCACGAGCCGCGGGATCGTATCAAAAGAAAACGTGGTATGAACATTTCATTGAGCGAAGGATATTGTAGATGAAAGTGACATTTTTGTGATCTTGCGAGTGAAGCAAGTTTTACTGAAAAATTGTATGGATGCTTACACTGGAAAAAAAAGAAAAAAAGAAAAAAAAAAGAAAAAAAAACACATAGGATCAAGAGTCCAGACTCTTAAACATGGACAAGAAAAAGTACTCTTGATTCAATCAGATTTAAGCATAAATCAAGAACCAAGCCTCTTAATTTGAACGGACTTCCTCCTGATTGAATCAAGAGTCATTTTTCTTGTCAATGTTTTCAAGAGTCTAGACTTTAGATCCAATGTGTTTTTTTTTTTTTTCCAGTGTACACAAATGTGACGAAGAATGGAATTTCAGGTCCGAAAATCTTAAAATTGATTCCACGACATTCCAATAGTGTAAAAGTTACTCTTGGAAATAAGACGCGCGCTCAGATTCATTTTATGGTACCATCTCTTACCATCTCCTCGCCGGTGACCAAAGAGTTGAGTACTTAGTTTAGCAATCCGGACCTAATATGGAAACAATTAGTCAAGCAAACTGCTTAGCCTGACATTCATCGTGTATATCGCATGAGTTTATCCCGTCAAAAACTTTGATGCTGATTTCTCAACAAATTTTAACTAAACTTGAAAAAATTGTCGGAAATCTCGTGGAAAATTGTGCCTTCGCAAGCAATAGTATTTTTCATCGTGGGCGTCCACAAATGAACTTCGAACTCAATCAACAAGGCGAAAAAACCAGCTTCTCGTTAAAAATTTTCCATTTTCGATTCTTGCATCTCGCTCTTATCACTGTAGATCCTCGTTATCCGCGGATTCGCTTAACCGCGATTGCTTTTAAATGGAACGTCCTCGTCATCCAGTGGCGTGTTTTGCGATTTATCGATTGTTATGCCATTTAAACCTATGGAAAAGGATCGATAAACAGGGTGTTCGCAGCGAACACCTTCAAAATCGATTCTTTACCATAGGTTTAAGTGGCATATCAATCGATACATCGCAATTCACGCCACGCCACTGTCGTCATCCGCGACTATTACATCGCGCTTATGTCTTTTTTCAAGACTTTCATGTAGGTAGTTATGTACTGCTTAACGACACTTAATCGGACTTTTATGTTGAATTCCTGTTTTTTTCATGTGAGTACTTTCTAATCAATACATGTGTTTATTTTCAGATGGCAAATACGGTGCTTCTCGAGTCGCGATCCTTCAGACCGTTCAAATCCAGTGAGGAGTATCTATGGGCCATGAAAGAGGATTTGGCCGAATGGCTCAACGGTCTTTACCCAGAGTTGTACATGAATGTAAATAATTTTATGGACAGACTTGACACAGGCGTCGCTCTATGTCGGGTAAGTCACTTTTTCAGTCCTTTCTCTTTTGTCAAGGCAGTATGCAGAATGTGTATGGATGAAGGTTGATTCCAGCATGTTGGCAACACTGTTGATCCTCCATTTAAATCCATTGAATGTATCGATTCTAGGTGAGGTAGACAGTCCTACCTAGAATCGATTGTTTTGCATACATTTAAATAAGGAAAAAACAATGTTGCCAACTTTCCAGAATCGCCACTGTGCATGGAAGCTCGAGGGAGATCGTTGATTTTGTCCATCGAGCTGATTCTTATGTATACTCTGCGGTAGATTTTATACATATTATATTCCACGAGAAGAAATCAATTTTGAATCAAATGGATTTATCTAGTGCTCTAGTAAAGAGGTAAGGAATAATACGTCTCTTCTCCTGTGACGTAGTTGGGTAGTTTTGTTTTCCGTCAAATCCTGTTCGAGAAATATTCTGCCTATTCCAAGGAAGTTTTTCTTACGTGCCGACATTACTAGTCACTGCTTAAGGAGCAACGCATGTTAAACAGGCTTTTTTCAAAAGCTCTCACTATTTGTTAAAAATTATGTTTTCAGGAACTTTTCATAAGGTGAAAATGTTAGAAAACATTTGAACGTTAAAGTTATTAATAAAAATCCCAATTTATCTAGTGATTTTTAATATTTTTTAAGGAGATCTTTTAAGGAGTTTTTGACCCCTTAAACTCTATTTGAATATTACGGGATAAGGCTTTTTTGAAGCATTAATGTTAACAATTATCTTTAATATTTCATAATTATCCAGCATTAACTTTTCATACTTATATCATTGAATAAAAATCGGTCTATCATTGAATTAAAATCGCACAACCTTGATCGATAAATTGCATTAAGGGGCGATTGTATTGAACAAGCGCCCGGCTAGTAAGCCTCGAGACGGGCTAATTGTTAGAAAAGAAAAAAAGGAAAAAACATAAAATTGTCAGTTCGTTTGATCCAATTTGAAACGTTAACAAGCTTTATTTGTCTATCCAAATTCGTTTGAAGGCAATTCGACAGTGGACCAAATGACGTAATCGGAGATCGGCCGTTATAGTCGCTGCGCTCGGTCAAAGCTGCCCGCTAAGGAAAAACAACGTGTGAGTATTTAGTAGTTGTCAAATCTATTTGATAAATCACAAATTTATTCTGGAAGTTCAGTTTTTTTCCCCTCAATTTTTTAGAGATTGTCAATCGCAATGGAGATGTTGCATGTGTGAAGAATTAGCGATTTAACTGTTCATTCATACGTACAAGTTCGCGAGAAACACGATGGTGCCACTGGTTTTCTCTGAAATTAACTCCCAAGCTAAAAAAAAGCTCTTAAGTTAAGGCCAAAATGGAGGGGATATCCAACGCCATCCTGAGCGTCCACGTCTACCTCAAGACAAACTCTCCATGCAAAGATAGGGAGCGAATACATTGACAGGGTTGCAGTGTTTTCAATTTTAGAGTCCCCAAATAAAGTGGCAGCTCTGTCAATGTATTTGCTCCCTATCTTTGCATGGAGACTTTATCTTGAGGTAGACGTGGACTCTCAGGATGGCGTTGGATATCCCCTCCATTTTGGCCTCAACTTAAGAGCTTTTTTTAGCTTGGGAGTTAATTTCAGAGAAAACCAGTGGCACCATCGTGTTCCTCGCGAACTTTCACATGAGAATCCATGGTCAAATCGCAAATTCCTCACACATGCAACATCTCCATTTGATCTGAGGTACCTACAAATTTCGGTACAATACATTCATGGCTTTTCTCGAAAAATGAAAATTTTGTCTGATGGAATTTGGCAACACTTGAATATACATACGGCGTTTTTCCTTAGCTTGAGGTGCCTTATCGGGGCGGCTGAGCAACAGTTGCGTAGAGCACGCTAATGAGCGCGAGTACGCAGTTAATTACATTAACACTCGACCACGCGCAAAACGGACCCACTTTGTAAAAAACAACGCGTCCGTAAGAGTATATCCTTGCAGTTACGCGGTTTTTGAGCGGGACGACGGAGATCCACTTGAGGGGTTTCCTAAGTGGAGACTTTATCCCTCAAAGAACACCGTCATCGTCATTTTGTGTCGGCGGCCCCTTGCACTTACGTACTCCTTGCTTTAGGCTGTTGGTTCTGCCGCACTGCAGCTTAAGCACGTACGAATCGGACTACATTTTGCCATGAGGAACTATTATTTCTGGCTCATTGATAGAAGTACCTATCTGCAAGGAAAAATCAAAGCGGGAAAGGAAAGGAAGAGCGGGAAAAGGAAGAAGGAAGGGAAGAAGTGGAAAAATGAGGAGAGAAAGAAATGAAAATAAGGGAAACATGAGAAATATTTTTTCTGGTTCATCAATAAAAGCACCTATCCGCAAGGAAAAATCAATATGGGAAATGAATAGGAAGAGAGGGAAGAGAAAGAAAGAGAGGAAGAGGAGGAAAAATGAGGAGAGAAAGAAAGGAAAAACGGGAAACATGAGTAAAAAAGAGGAAGAAGGAGAAGGGAAAAGAGGACAATGAAGCCGCTGTGTTACTGAAGAGAGCCGTAATGCTCAAATGTTCAAAATCGAGTCGCCTTCAAAATTAGCGACAGAAAGAGGAAGAGAGCTAAAATGTGGAAATCGACGAATACAAGAGTAAGAAGATGAAAAAAGCAAGGAAAGGAAAAAGGAGACGTAAAGGAGGAAAGTATAGAAGAGGAAACCCCTGTCTGCATATATGGGAACACTGTACTCATACGTTAGTACACAGTACTGTATACGTTATTCCTCAAATGATCCTAAAGTAATATTAGTTCCTAATTGCAGAATGTAGTCTAATCGTTCGTTTCCTGTGCGATTGTTCGCCTCGTGAGGTAAATGTATTTTCGCACGGATTTTCGCGGTGACTCACCCGCTGGACGAAAAGTTTCCGGGTCTGCCCTCGCGGAGGCCGACGAACTTCCTATGGGAGGTTCCACGGTTTGTCGGAAGTCGAGAGGTTATGGCTGTGTGCTCCTAACGGGGTTGACACGAAGATGATTTTATGACGAGGGAACGCAGTGCTGCCATTTTAGTTTACTGAGGATTCCGATGTTTTCCAGATTTTCTCCCGAAATTAATTCCGATTCCCGAAAGTTCCGAGAAAAATTCTAATTTTTTTCAAAAGTTCCGGGAAAAAAGTTCCAAATACGCCCAGATTTAGTTCCAAAGGTCGTCAAATATGACCAAAAATCAGCAAATTTGATCAAATAATCGTTCGAACTGACCCAAAAATATCCCGAAATTCTGAAAATCTCGAAAATTGCTGGACATTCCGGGAATTTTGAAGATTCCGAGAAAATTTCCAAGAGATTACAAAAGTTTTGAAATTCAGAATCGATTCCGAAAAAAGTTCCGAGAGATTACAAAAGTCTTGAAATTCAGAATCGATTCCAAAAAATGGCAGCACCGAGGAGCGTCCGCGGAAACAAGGACGGCGGTTATGCTACCACACCAACAATAAAAGTTCGGTGCTATGAACCGTAAGCACGATGTTCTACATCGGCCACACCGGGGCCCTATCCGGTTCTTACGACCGTACTCTCGGTTCCAGAAACTGTATCCACAGATCGTGAAAACCGAGCGTTTTTTAGTTGGGCAACGTCTGAAAGCTTAGGGCCGTTTGTAAGATCTCTTGTCAACCTCTGGTCACCAAACCAGTAGTCAGACTCTGACCAGCATTCAATCTGCTGATCAGCCTAACTATTGGTTTACGAGAGAGGACAAAGGCTGACCGGGACTTGACCTGAAGAAAACCGGGAGTCATACTCACCTACACCTCTGGTCAGCTCAAATCACCAGTTTGACGAGCACCTGACCAGAGGTTTTACAATCTGCCCTTATACGGCGCTTTTCCTTAGCACAGCAATGTGTACCATTGGTTTCCATGTGAACATAAGTGTTTTCACGGATAAGCCAAAAATTGTATTTCCAATTAAAATTAAGTTCTTTTAAATGGGAAATCTCCACTCTTGCAGAGCCGCAACGTACTTCGCCTCTCATCCCGGTCCGAAATGAAGTTGTAGAGAATTATCGAGTTTGACGTGGAGCAAGTTGCAAGTTGTTAGCGCTGGGACGGGGGGCTTGTGGGTCAGCTGAACGGAATAGGCCGTCGAGCGAAGTCTGAAGTGGTGCATAATCGACTGAAGCTCGGAGTCGGGAGTTGGGCGGAGGGCGGAAGCAGGGAAGAACTAGCGCAAAGCCTCGCTCAGCGCTCATGAACAGTCAAATCCTTTAATTGAATCACGGCGATGCCAGCTCGTCCGTGACATAGTGACACAGTCCCAGCAACCCGACCGGCTAGCAAATCGGGAAACATCGGCTAACCGGCCGATTTTCACGGGCGGGTTGATCGCTGAAATCGATAGACAAAGAGATAGACAAAGCAGACAGGGAGTATGAAGCTCATAGACTAAGGGAGAAAATGATGGACAAGCTATCGGGTTTCACGTGGATAGCCAATAGTTAGTCTATTACCTACCTCCTTTGTCCATTGCAATGATCCGCACCCACCAGGATTCGTCCGTATCCCTTATGTCTTCTTTTGTCTATCAATTTCAATAATCGGCCTGTAGGACTAAAAATGAAAGATCAAGTCCATGCTGAAAACCAACGTTTTCTAAAAGGCAAACTCCAAAGGAGGAAAAAGCCTGAAATCTACTCTTTACCGCGCAATTTGCGCAGTTTGTTACGCCCATTTTCAATTTTTAAATTTTTAGCGTCCCCAAATAGTTGTCTTTAGTCGCCGGTGACCAGGTCTGCACAGGAAGAGCCGCAAAGAATACTTGAACTAAATAAATAGATAATTTTGCAAAATTCCTCTTGTGTGCGATTTCAATCGTTTTCAAGCGTTTATTTCCTCATTGTCTCCTCTTTCCATAAAGACAAAAGTTTCAAATCTATTGAAATCGTAAGCGAGGAAAGGTTGTATATATGTATAACAGTTCGTCAGATTTCTTGTGTTTTAAAATCAGGTTTTCTTGTGTCTC